AGACGGAATAAATCATCGCTTACACGTTAATTGCGCGAAATTAATCTCGCGTCATTTGTCCCAAATTGGCCAAAATGGCAATCTTTAAACCCCCATAACTTTACGGAAAATAATCACAGGTGAAATAGCTTTTCAATTTTAAGCTCAAGGCAACAATAGCTTGTGAATGGTTTTTAAAAAAATTGTCGAAAAGGGCTAATTAAAAAGTCGAAATTTGTCTGAAGAAAAAATACCCACCCCGAGCACAAACATTCCGTTACTTTCGTATTGAAAGTCGGAACAAAAAGATAGAAATTAAAAAGTCTAAATGTATCTGCAGAATTATAGAACACGCATACGGAACTGAAAAGTTTCGTCACCTTCGAAACTTGGAAAAACAAAATCTTTTAATTTTTGCCTCAATCAACTTAGAACAATTTCCAACGCTTATGCGTAAATAAATCGCCGCTTGTGCTTTAATAGCACGATATTGCGGGTTAATTAACCCAGTTGAACAAATTATCGAATTTCAAATTCCATTTAAATAGCGAAAAACAATTGCCTTTGAAATATTGGTATACAAAGTCGCATTTGTCTGAAGAAAAAACCCACATTGAGCTCGAAACTTTTGAAGCTGGGAGCAAAAACACAATCCAAAAACTTAAAATTTTATCGAGATAAACTGAATCAAAAACATCCGAAACAAGTTAAAGAGTAGTCAAATTTTTCAGGGCATTGCACTGATGGGCAGTCTTGTTTCAATTTTTTTGCCCCAAATTTTCTGTAAATTTCCTACACATAGACTGAAATGTTGCTGCACCCATGGGTCCTCTGAATGGTCCTCGCGAAACCCGGGCATTCACTGAATTTTATTTGTTCCTTTATGGTTATCTTAGTTTAAGCAATTATGGAGACTTGAAAGCAAATTTTATATGACAGCTTTCGTTAATAATAATAAATCAGAATCAGCAAAACTGCTGTTGCCCTTTCAATCGATAATGAAAGGGAACATCTTTGAAAGTGTTGATTTTCGATCATTTTTGAAAGGCAAAAAAATGCTGTCAGAACATCTTTTATTTGATACTGGTGCTCTTTTTTCCTTTTCCCCCCACCTGCAAAATTTTACCAGTGAAATTTTGTTCACATTTTCCGAATGTCACGATAATTGGCATGCAAACTAATCAGGCCATTATAAACATACTTGTTCTTCATGTTTAACCTTGTAAAACCCTTCGTTACAACATAAAAATCATGCTTTTGGGGAGATGGGGGGCGGAGGAAAAGAGCAGATACTGGCGATATTCTTTTAGTATTGTATGAGCTTTGTATGTTTATCTAAAGTACATACAAGCCATATATTGTTTAATGCGTATTATGGTATTTCTGAAAAAGGCCCTGGGTCGAAGAGCGGATTCAGAGAGGGGGGGGGGGGGGGGGGGGGGGTTGGGGGGCTTCGATTCATTTAGGTCGTAATTTACGACATCCCTTTTCGACCGACCAGCCTTTAATTTTTCTAAAACCGCATTTGATGCCAATATATACCAAATACTAAGTTTGAAATGGAGCGCGCGCCAACAAAAAACGCAACTTTTTTTGTCAAAACTTTCCAAAAAGTGCCTAAAACATCTTTTCCAGGGCCGGATCTAGGATTTTCTCGAGAAAAGTGGGGGGGGGGGGGGGCGATTTTCCAAAAAAAGTTTCGAAAATTTTGCCGACCTTTTTTTTTGGTCGACCAAATTGTTTTTCCGAGCTCTCCCAAAGCAATACAAAGAAATCTTTATGTCAAAATTTTCCAAAAAAGGCCAGTTCTTTCAAAAATTTGCCAGCGGATCTGAAACTTTGATCAAAGTTGGTTCCTTATAGCAGGGGTGAATCTAGTATTTTCTCGAGAGGGGGGGGCGGATTTTCAAAAATGTTTTGAAAATTTTGTCGACTTTTTTTTACGTCGACCAAATTGATTTTTCAAGCTCTCCCGAAGCATTTAAAAGTCCCTGTTCCGGCCAAATTTTCTGCGGCGCAGGCAAAACTTTGAAAAAACAGGACAAAAAAAGGCTTTTTTCCGCGCGCGCTTCCCCCTCAAAATTAGTGTATATTGGCCTTTAAAAATTTTTTAGGGTCCGTCACCAAAAATGGATATTTTAAAAATAGTACAAATGGGGGAACCCTTTGGGTCGTCAAGGGGTCAAATCCCTGAGGGAAGGAGGGTCCGACCACCCCGCCTCCCCCCTAAATCCGCCCCTGCTTCATAATGTTCTGGGAGCGCTCGGAAAATCGACTTAAAAAAAATTGACAAATTTTTTTGCTTTTTTCAAAAATCCGCGCCGCCTCCCCCTTGAGGAAAGCATAGATCCGGCTGGGTAGTGAAGCGTTATTTTTGTTACGGCGATGAATATGTTGCGACTCTAATTAATTAGAATTTAATTAATTTGTCAGAACTTCTTTTTTGTGACGAGTGTAAATCGCGGAGTATAAAGGCCAGCCGAAAAATTACATCATATGAATGAAATTTGCATAAACTTCGTAACTGTTACATAATTGTTACATATGTAACAGTTACGAAATATATTTCGTAACTTTTACATAGTTATATACGTACGTATAACTCTTACATTTTCGGCTGGTTGATACTTTCGCTAATTTATACTTCGGCTGATCTCGTCTATTTACCACCTCTCGACATGGACACATGCGTTATAAGCACAGTTGAGGAGTAATGAGAAGGTTTGAGGGCCAGGGTGGGGTCATTTAGAAACCGTAATCATCAATCGCCATAATAATTGAGCAATCATAAACTGACTGGTCCACGCAAAAGCTGTGAGCGCAAGCTTTGAATCAAAACACAAGAGAATTAACTTTGATTTCGCAAATCCAAATGGTCATTTTTTCCTGATGCCGTTGGCGGTCCTCTTTGTTTTTGATTGAAAGTTCCGCCTCATAGCAAGATATAGCGTTGGTGATTTGTGAAAAAAAAATTGTAGCACCAATGCAATAACTGCCGAATGCATGTTTGACTCTTTTTCCTCCCCGCACTGACAAAAATGGATTTCGATCGATTTTAGTATGAAAAAAAGTATGCAAATTAAATTGAAATCGATTTAAATTGTTTTAAAAAAAAGTAAGTTAATCAAAACGAAAACTCAGATCGATTTAAATCGATTTTTTAGACACTTAAATCGATTTAAATTTTTCAAAAAGATCGATTTAAATCGATTTAAAATCCATTTAAGTTCGTAAAATGTACATAGTTAATCGATTTGGATCGATTCAAAATCGATTTAAAATCAATTTAAATCGACCGGAAACCATTTTTGTCAGTGTGGGACGCAATTCAATCACATACTATTTTGATAAGTTTCGTCTGAACAAAACACGCATATTTAACTTACTGTGTGAGAAACGGTGCTAGTGGAATACGCCGAAGAAGCCAAAAACAGAAACTCAAAGAGTAAAGCAATAAACCAAATCGTAGATCAAGTTTAAGGGTCTGTTCTGTTATACGGCCCAGAAATGAAAAATCGCTCATCAAAATTATTATTAACGAAAATAACTGTTGTGAAATTTTACAGAACCCAAAACAAACAAGACTGCTCGTATCAAGGTGAAGCCCTGATTGTTCCGACTGCCTTTTAAAGTTTATGGAGCAGTAATAACCTTTAAAAATTAAATGTATATAAGGTAAAAAAATAAAAATAAATTTCTAAAAATTGAATTTTTTAAATGAAAATCATCCCCCCACACGCCATATAAATTACTAAGGGACAGATTTCACTCCTTATAACAAATCAACTATGGCAAATAAGCTTCTTTCAACCAACTTGGAACGATTTCTAAGACGGAATAAATCACCGCTTACACGTTAATAGCGCGAAATTAATCGCGCGTCAATTGTCCCAAATTGGCCAAAATGGCTATCTTTAAACCCCCATAACTTTACGGCAAATAATCACAGGTAAAATATTTTTTCAAATTTAAGCTCAAGACAACAATAGCTTTTGAATGATTTTTTACAATTCCGTCAAAAATGGCTATTTAAAAAGTCGAAATTTGTCTGAAGAAAAAAAAACCCACCCCGAGCACAAATACTCCGTTATTTTCGTTATTAAAGTCGGAACAATTACTTTCGTTAAGAACGTCGGAATAATAATGTGTTCAACCGTTTGAAGTTTTTATTGAGAGTTTTTATTGAGAGTTAGGGGGCGTAATGGGGCGGGCCGAAATTGAGCAATTTCCATCAAAATTTAAGGTACTAGTTTACTTGTTTGGTCTCGTGACAAAACTAGTTTAGATGATTGGTCCCGGCTATTTTTTTAAAAAAGAAGAGACAACACACGGGTTTTGGACCTACGCCTTGGGTGTTGGAAATCTGATTCGTACACGCTAGACTAACTACGCCCGTTGGGACAGCAATATTGAGAAATAAAAATGCTTACTGTTAGAATTAGCCACTTACTGCACCTCGGTTTTGATTAGAGACCACAGCATTTTTGAGTGACAAAACAAGTAAACTAGTACCGGAAATTTAGTTGGTCATTTGAAAAAATAGCAATGTATTCGGGCATGTTTTCGGGCCAACCCTTATCCTTTTTCTTAATTTTACTACCGAGTTGACCAGCAAGTGCATTCAGTTTTTAGTATCGATTGAAACTGAACTCAAATTTTTTTTGGTCCACCCAAATAATCCTCCCGTTGGCACTGCGGTTTTCATTGTAAGCTTTTTTGCCGCAAATACTTCTGAAAATTAAGTGATTTTCCGTTTATACTGCAGCGGCTTGTTTCACCGACACTGGGATTACAACACGACGAGAACAATGACGTCTGAAAAGGCGGATTGAATGTGCGATGCTACTCTTAAAGATTTGAATGATTGCAAATTGGAGGCTTCAATGCTAATGCTGTGCCTTGAAGAATTTTTTGCTAACTATTATCATAAGATTGAATAGGTGTGTGCTTGATGAGGATTGAGGAAAAAGAGTGCAATTATGAATTCAAGTCATTGGCTAAACAAGATGAGGAGGACTGACCATCGACTATCTTGGATTGAAGATGTGAAGAGGAGGATGCATGGACATTGCATATGGCCAGTGACCCGTCTGCCTCGTCCTTCACTTCAAATGAGAGATCACTGTCTGCTCCCACTGGTATAGAGGCACGACCATCGCCTCTAAAAAGTGAACAGGAAATAGACATTTTTGAAAATTAGATAATGTTTTATTAAGGATCAGTATTAAGGAGACAGGAAGGAACTAATACAGCCTACTAAAGCTATAAGTTACTGGATTTGGGGGTGGAGGCGGCGGCCGGGGAAGGGGGGTTGGACACCCGGACAAATCAAAGCGTCCACCTTTGGCTCTACTTTACCACATCCATTTTTAGCCGATTTGCCCTAAAATTCTCTAGAGGTGCTTTTGCCAATATTATAACTGATTTTTGATGGGACGAGCACCAAGCAAACGCCAATTTTTGTCAAAAATGCAAAAAATGCCTGAAAAAATTTCTTCCGTTATTTTTTTGATATCGTCGGGGCACAGAGAACTTCGACGAATTAGTGTCTTTCCTTGAAGTGTTTGAAGAGAGCTCGAAAAATCGTCTTTATAATTCCTCAATCAAATTTAAAGAAGATCGTCGACAAATTTCTTTTAAGCCCCCCCCCCCCCCCACTTTTAGCAGAAGTTTTATATTTTTATAAGTTTTGACTCCGCAGCTCGATTTGGCACCTAAATTTGATTTGCCTCTAAATACCACTTCAGAAGCCCTTTCTACGTAGAATCAAAACGAATAAATGTTTTAAACCAGTTCTGAAGGGGTCTTGCGTAATCTTTTATCCACTTCCCTATTAGCGCCGCAGAAGAAATTTTTACCCTGTATTTTGGGCTAAAATAAAATGTCGAATTTGCGACCAACAAATTTTGCCCAACTATTGTTGACTTTGATTGCAACATGCATCACCGTTTGCTCAAATCACTTACATCAGTGTTTCAGCGACATCAGTGTTTCAGCGAAAACGTCATTTGTGCTTCAGCGATATAATCAAAACATTGCATGTCCAATTGTGATTCGAGAGCTTTAAAAGTTTTCCAACAAACGTTTTTGGTCGACAAAAACTGTTGAGAAGTTTTCGCCGTTTAGATTCGACATACAAACCAATTGAAACGACTTTGAGCAATTTTTGTTTCCTACAAATAAACTATTCACAACTACTTTTTCTTGCTTTATATTGAAAATCCAACATTGAGTCAATAGATCGGTTTATTGCTTTGTTTTCCTTTATGCAACGATCTTTTATCAGCTCAGAATTTTGCTAGATTAGCTTTTTTCTACCGTGCATCCACCGCGCTTTAACTTGCTTTTGACCAATATTTTATGACTGTAGATTGAACTTTAAAGTCTCTGAATTTTAGTAGCTTAGAAGCAAAAAAATTGTGACAAGAGACGCAGTTACTAGTTGCGACAACGTTCTACCCACTTACTTTCTGAGGAGGTTTCCGCGACTATCTTAGAAGATTGATCACATCCCAGACTGACTCCTACTCATCACTTATTAAAATTTTACTAGTCAATTTTGAATTATATAAATATCAGGTACACGTCCTGTAAACAATCTAAGAATAAAATGAATTGAATACTGCTTGTTTAGACTCTAAATACATACAATACTGCTGTGTCAGCGCGAAGCCTGCGTGTTCCGACTGCCTTTAATGGTCTACGAAAGAGTTTGAATTAAAAATTTAAAATTGAGAGTTTGAATTTTAAAATTGACACGCTTTATAAAAAAAATCACCGAGCCTAAATTTTCCCTCCATTTCTGCGAAAGTCGGAATAATAATCAATCATCACTTCAAACCCATTTTCAACCAGTTTTTGGGGGCTAATCCTCGAGTTGATTTCATTTTCTCATCTCACTAGTTAATTCGCTTAACTGAGTTTATCTCAGTTTTTCATACTGCTACTGCGTTTTTTTTCAAAATTTTCCTCATTTATCGAGATTTCTCATCAATTTCATTCCGTCTTCATATCAATTATGTCCTTTCAACCTCTCTGGAAAAAAAATCAGTAAATTAGGTTCTTTTCCCTAAGTTTACTCTTAGAATATTGAAGTACCCGGTTTGACCGAAAATGGTCAAACTGTTCTTCAATAAACGGTGTATCGTAGTATGATACACCGCCTTTTATGCCAAAACAAAAAAAGTTCTTTGAAAATTCGATGACACATTTTAGCAAAACGAAAATTTGTGTGATTAGTATTGTTTCATAGACTTAGTTTATGGAATTGTATGATTAGTTTTTTCGGTCTGTGGAGGTCAACCCGGGTAGGTCGTAGATCACTACAGAAAATAGCGTATGCGTCAAACATTATCTGGTGCATCACGCCGACAAAATACCATATTAGCTGTTTGTCCTTCCTAGCATCCCGGGTTGACCAAAACTTCTTATCATATAATTTCACACAATTCCATGCGTACACTAAATTGTATGAAATCTCTATGATAAACATTTTTTTCATATATAAAAATTATACGATAAGTATTTTTGCAAAATTTTTGTGTCGCTATCACAAAAAAGCTAGTCATATAATTTCCATATATGGGAATTGTACGTTAAGCATTTTTTCAAAAAACAAAAACCTCGGTTTTTTCATCACCATCAGACTATTTTATTAGATTCAAACAGCCGCAGAATTTAGTTTATATCTTTTTCAACCATTTTCGAAACTGTACGAAAATTTTATGATACGCAATTTTCCATACACTTGATGTATGGAATTGTATGATAAGCATTTTTGGTGAATGGAGGTCAGCCCGGGATCCTAGAGAAGACAGACTCAATAAGACAAACTAAAAGTCGATTCAATAACTAATTCACGTGGCATAGATTGCCTATATGGAAAAATATTGAGCCTTCCAAAAAAGCTTTATGAAATACTTTGACAAACGTAGACTTCAACACAAAACAAACTTAACAATCAATTAAAGACAGGTATTAAAATGTTTGGGCGATCCTTGAATTCTTTCATACACAAGCAGGAGCTCCATGTTCGAGGTCCCAAAATAAATCAATGGCCTACCGTAGCATTACTCGACCTAGTGCTCAAGATATTTAGATGATTGGGCTCAAGTTAACACTATTATATATTTATATCAGTAGCAGGCCCTGGATAAATCAATTTGGTCGACCTAAAAAAGGTCAACACAGTTTTGACATACTTTTGAAAATCCGCCTTCCCCTAGAGAATATCTTAAATCTTATATCCGTAGAATGTTTAATGTCGATAAGATAACGTATAGAAGCAGACAACAAAAGCAAACGAACCCATGAAGAAATAAAAACCATGCGAGCAGACTTTCTGCCGCTGTGAAGATTGCCAGACACCTTATCACTTAAAGTAAAAAAAAACTACAACAACAACAAAAAAACATTTCTTCCGAAGTTTGCACTTTCCTGGTCTAGAACAGATAGCCTACCACTTCACAGCTAAAGATCCAGCTGAGGGTGGGCAAACATAGGAGAATCATATAGCTTCTTTTTCTTGCTATTCTTGGTGTTAATTTTAGAACTGGGAAGAAGTGTTAATTTTACACCAACATAATTGCAATCCCAGAAGTAAACAGTTACAATGATGTTGATGATACTAGCAAAAAATGGATCCCTAAAGATATCAGTCAGGAGACTCAGGTGAACCAAACAATTCCTGAAACTCTAGTGGACATCAATTTGTCTCTATAGAAAAAAGCTGAAACGTTCGAGAAGACGCTAAAGCGTTTTCAATTGTGTAATAACGTATTTTCACTCCATCATTGCGTATTTTTTATCATTAAATTTCATTTTTTGTAGTAAAACTCTCAACTACTTCAATATTTATAAACATACCAATTTTAATTCAACACTTGCTTTTTCTAAAAAAAAAAATCCCGCTAGTTTTAATAGTGCCACTACTGTACCAATTTTCTCATCCAATCATATTTGTTAGCATAAGATTTCACTCATTTCTGCAACACTTTTATGATTTTCATATAAAAAGTTGAACTTACCTAAAATCTGGCCAGTCGACGAGTGTTTTTCATAGAGGGTTGAAATTTCAGTTCGAAACATTTTTTCCTGATGAATAAATCTTTCAACGTTGAAATTCGTAGGAACCGATAGATGCTTTTCGGTACTTTCAATTGAGAAAATTTGCAAGCTCACCATAGAATGAGCTAGAATCATTTCTTGTTTCTTGCTTTCAAATGCAAACTTAAAACCAAACGCAACCTTTTTCGAGGAGTTTAAAGAAAGTGCTTAAAGATTAAGAAACAAAACTCATCTAAGGATTAAAAATAGTTGTCAATTGACGCTCAAGCAATTTCGCTAAATATTGAAACCAACCGAAACTCCGATTCTTTTTTCATCCCAAAGTCAAATTGACTCAAATTTATCTCATACTTTTTACTCTTCTAATAAAGAAAAAAGTTATAGGTGACAATTAAAACTACAATAAACCAAAAAGCTAGGTTTACGAGGGGCTAGGTTTACGACAAAAACGAGGGGCTAACATAACTTATTGCTTAAAACAAAACTTCACAATACAGGAGTATATAACGAGGGGATGAAAAACTTGAAGGCTAGCAGACCTAAAACGGATGCCATAAAATAATACCATAAAATATAACCAATATCATAAAAGAATAATAATAAAAACCACAAATAATACCTTTGGTTGGTACGGAGGTCGACTTTTTTGATATGCACAAATTAAGTTATAGATAACAAATGGACAAAAATCTGTGAGTGTTACCATTGCCTTTGATTGTCTATGGAGTAGTATTTGATATAAGATAAACGATGAAAACTTCAAAAACATTGAAAAAATTATAAATATTTTGGGATTTTTTTGAAATGAATTGCCCCCCGACGACGCTAAGTAAAGTGCAAAACAAAATATAGTGTTTCGTAATGAAATTTCGCAATGAATTTCGTAATGAAGGTAACAAAATATTTGTGCTCGTGGTGGATTTTTTATTCTGACAAAGTTCGACTTCATAACTAGCTATTTTTGACGGAATTCTTTTTACATCACTCAAAAGGTATTGTTGTGCTGAGCTTAGACTTGAAAAGTTATTTTATCTGTGATTGTTTTTTGTAAAGTTACGGGGGATAATGCCATTCTCGTTAATTTCGAACAATTAGCGCGCGGCATTTGTCGCGCTTTTTACGCGTAAGCGGAGATTTAATACGTCATAGAAATCTTTCTAAATTGCTTGAAGCAGGCTATTTGCCGTAATTGATTTGTTACTAGGAGCAAAACTTATCACTTTGTACTTTATATGGCGTGTGGGGGATGATTTCCTCAAAAATATCAAATAAAAAAATCCATTTTTTATTACAATTAATTTTTCATGTTATTACTGCTCCATATATCTCAAAAAGCAGTCGGAACATTCAGGGCTTCACCCTAAAACAAGCAGTCTTGTTCATATATAGCAAAGTTTTAAATCGACCAAATATCATGCTGCTTACCACTTCGCAGCAATTTTTAGGATTGAATCTTCGCTTACGCGGTAATAGCACGAAATGTATCGAGCGTTAATTGTCAAGAATTGACCAAATCGCAAGTTTTAAACCCCCATAACATTACAAAAGACATTCACAGGTAAAATATCTTATTAAATTTGAGCTCAAGACTACACTAATTTTCGAATGATTTTTAAAAAAATGTCAAAAATGGCTAATTAAAAATTTGAAATTTGTCTGGAAAAAAAACAACTCGAGCACAAATATTCCGTCACTTTCAAGTCCGAACGGCAACCAACAACCTATTCATCTCTCAATAATGGTTTTCCGTGGCTTTTTTTGTTTTCACAGCTCTCAGTATTAACGATTGGAATTTAAAAAACTTTACTGGAATGGACAAAGTTTGCGAGAATTAGTATCTGCTTCTAAAACAAAAGGAATTCAATTGTCCTTTGCTAACATCGTCCTTATAGATTTTATTAGAGTGGAATTCATTTTCGGATGCTTTGATACAGTAGGTTTCATGAACCATTAAACTTTCACGATGTTCCATAAGATAAAATCGCCAGATTTAACCAACCTCAAATTAACTTAGAAATCACAGAAAAGCTATTCGAAAGATTTCTCAGAAAAAAATTTCTCAGAGCTCCGCTAAAAAAAATGAGAGCAACAAAATTTCTTTTAAAATGTGTCGTTTTCAACAACCGGAAGGTGAAAATAATCAATACGCACCCCAGGAAAAACTTCTTCATGTGTGAATTTGAAGTAATAGTTCAATAAATCAAGATAAACTGGTTTTAAACATTCATTTTTCGTGCTTTTAAACACAATGCACGATTTTCAATTCAATTTAGAATCTAGAAAGTAACTTTTCTGCTGTTTTCTAAATCACAGGTGTGTAGAATGAACACAAAAAAGCTGCAAATATTATAGCTTAAACAAGCATGCTTTTAATATTTTTTCAAAGCAGAAAAGTTATAAAATGTTTTGATTTCTTCGTTTTTAATAAAAGTGGCTTCACGCATCACTAACTCTCGTTTATCTTCAGAAGTTTTATGGGTAATTGCTTGTTAGTTGACTCGAATAATTTAACTTATTCTTACCATAACTTACCATGTTTAAAAGTTGGCGAGTAACCGAGTAATTTTTCTCATTTAAAAGTGCAGCCTTATAAGTAAGAACAGCAAATGTGAAGCATTCCAACAAAATGTATGAGATGGGGCGTCGATACGTATGAAAGTAATAGTTTTTAACTTTATTTGACTGAACGGAGCTCGCTTAAGTTAGTTGGACCATGAGAAATTGGATTTCTTGAAACAAAAATATGTGCCAAGTCAGATATCAGTTAAGTTTTTTTTCTTTTTTTTTTTGTTAAAAACAATATTTACCCCCAAGATCTAGGAGTGTGGCCAGCTTAGTAAAAAAACGGGTTAGTATGTGACCATTGTGACCACTTGAATAACTTTTACACCTCATATTTGGCTAAAATCTTGGCTAGACAGTGAATTTCAGTAGTCTTTTTTTAAAAGCTAGAAAGTTCATTTTTTAAAACAAGAAAGCATTAATAATTGATTTTTTGTTTTGAAAATATACCAAAGGTTATGTTGAGGCCATCTATGAAAAAATATATATAAAAATGATGAAAAGGCAACAATATTTTGATAATTTCCAGAGAACCTTTTTCTTCACAGTCAAGTCGAATTGAATTTCTATTAAATTGCTCATATCTGGTCGTATCAGGGCAAAACCCTGAATTTCCAGCTGCCTTTTAAGCTCTATGAAGCTGTAATAACATGAAACAAACTAAACATTAAAAAAATGCTGCACTTTTTGTGAAAATTATCCCCCCACACGGCATATAAAGAATCTTTCGCTCTTAGCAACAAATAAGCTTTCCTTTAACCAATTTGAAACGATTTCTAAGACGAATCAAATCTCCGTTTACGCGTTAAGAGTGCGAAGTATATCGCGCGTTAATTGTCCCAAAATGGCCAAAATAGCAATCTTTAAGCCCCCATATTTTTTTAACGAAAAATGAATACAGGTAAAATATCTTTTCAAATTTAGGCTCAGGACAACAATTCCTTTTGAATGGTGTCAAAAGTTTCAAGTTGTTAATGAAATTAATTCACGTCTGGACAGATTTTATAACCGAACAAGTTGTTTTTTTCACAATGGTCGCATACTAACATGACGTTCTACTCTAGATCTAAAATATTATTTGATAATTAATCCACTGGTTGGTTTGTCCGTGGATAAATCAACCAGTGGATCATTCATCGATCTAGATGCCGACAGTAACAAGAATAACCGGATAGTGTGCCAGTGGCACCATATGTTCCAACCATAATCTTGAGAAAACACTGTCGAAAACGATTTTTTTATTCAAATAAGTCTAATTATTGCTGGGTAGTATGACAAAAAATCGACAAAAAGTCGGCAAACAAAAAAGTTTTGTCAGTTATAATAAACTTTAACTGTACTTATTTTCGGCCGTGACGTCCTCAAGACTTACTAGACGTTTTCACGCCAATTTGTTGTCGATTATCAAGAGGAGAAAACAGAACACAAGTTAAGCGGAGAAAAAATATTTTCTGAAAAGAAATCGGTCTTGTTCAACAACTTTCAGCCACCTCTGGTCTAATGGTCCATAATAGGTCATCAACTTATTGAGCAAGTTTTTCTCTAACAAAACAGACTCAAGTGAGGTAGCCTTTGAGCTATAAAAATTACACCGTGTTTTTGATCTGCTTTGTTGGCCAATTCAAAAAGAATCTCGCAAATACGTTTAAGTGAGCTGTTTTAAAACCATCAATAAACTTTTTAAAACTGCCATCAGTTTTTCAGCCTGCTTCTGTTGTGTTCTAGAAAAACATGTTCTATCGTTTTAACAAATTTACTTGACGTCTTACATTTTTGAAAATATTTCTTTCTTTGAAACAGTGAAATGGCGTTGAAAGTATATAATCAGTAGCAAAAAATTGGAATAGACATATTTATTTAACAAGAACAATCTGCCATTTTTAACAGTTTTTGCATGCAAATTTAAACTTTAGCCCAGCTTGACACATAAGTTTTGTCTGAAAATTAGTTTTTGCAAAAGTTTTCTGCACTAAGACAAATTGCTCTATTCAATTATTTCTGTCTTTTCCAACTTTTGCAACTTTCTATAGCTTTTAAGAAATTTATCGAACAACGTTTTAAATTTTCTCGAATAATTTTGACCTTGAAACATTGAAATATAGAGAGTTGCAAAAAGTTCGGACAGACAGAATTAATTAAAAAGAGCAACTGTCTACACATCAACGGAAATTGAAACTGAAATAAACATAATGTCGAAGGTTCATAAAGCAGAGTTTCACTCAAACAAAACCTTTGATTACGGCTGGCAATTGCATCCGAAGTGCCGAACAGTAAACCCTTTAGCAGGAAAATTTTTGATCAGGGTGGTTAATGTTTTTCTGCAATTAGTTCCCAAATTTTAAATGATTTGATCATCTTCACATCCGTATGTTGTTTAGGGGCAACCTAATAATTTTCTTAAAAAATGACTTTAGATTTTGGCTTTTGAACTAACTTTGCTAACTGGTTTATGGTAAAACCTGGATATTCCTTGCAGTATTTAAAAACTAGGCTAGCTTAATCATCGGATAATCGACGATCTCGCATTTTGAATTTAATCTGACAAAAAATTCAAGGTTGTTAGGCTTCAGATTTTGCATGCAAAAAAACTTCGAAAAGCACAGGTTGCTCATTTTAATTAATTCTGTCTGTCCGAACTTTTTGCTACTAATTATAGCTGAAATTAGTACAAAGTTTTCAAATTTTGACTTGAATTGTCAAAAGAGCAAAGAAAAATGATTGCGCTTTCTTAGAGATCAGTTTTCTAGTATATAACTATAGAGTTTTGCAAAAAATTCTGACAGTCAGAAATAATTAAAAAGAGCAATCTGCTAATTTTCAGCAATTTGTGCTTGCAAATTTGAACTTTTACCTTCACACATAAATTCTGTCTGAAAAGCTAGTTCTGTCCGTTCCAAATTTCTCGAGTAATTTTGAAATTGAGACCTTGAAATTGAAGAGCTAACGAAAATAATTGCGCTTTCTTAGAGATCAGTTTTTTTTAATATACAGTGCTGATTTAAATTATCCTGACAAAATTATTTAAAACTTGAATTTTCCAACACTTTTTTTGCAAATTTGGTTAAAATTAGACAAAAAGGTGAAGAGAACAAAACTTGCTTAGAAAATCAGAAAGAACATTGTGGAATTTTTTCTCCAAAATTCTCAACCAAAATTCACCACAAAAAAGGGTCATTTTGGCTTTTCAAATAATCAAGAATTACGCCGAAACTAATAAACTAATTGATAAGGTAGATATATCACAAGAAGCTTTTTCACAGCCCAACAAAGTTCTAGAAAAAATAAAACTCCAAAAAAAACTTGTATAAGAGATAATATTTTTGCTTGATAGTCAAGAAACTTAATTTTTACTACAGAAAATCAAAATCTTTGATTAAAAACAAATTTTAAACTATTTACCCAAATTTTTTGGAGATTTAACCCCTCTAGAACTTTGTTAGGCTTTGTATGTGACTTCTTGTGATAGATGTTTCACATCATTCAACATAGTAGTTTCTGCTCAAATCTTGATTAATTGAAAAAAGCCAAAATTAACCATTTTTAGGGTAATATTTTGGTTGAGAATTTTTCGGAGAAAAAAAAATGCACCATACTATTTATGATCAAATTTTATGCAACTTTTGTTCTTCTCACTTTATGTCTAATTTTAATCCAATTCGAGAAAAACGTGTTTGAAAGTTCAAGTTTTGTTCGTTTTGTCCGGATAATTTAAATCAGCACTGTATAATTAAAGAGTTTCGAAAAATTCTGAAAGACAGAAATAACTTAAATGAGCAATCTGCTTTTTTGAGCAAATTTTGCACGCAAATTTGAAGTTTTAGGTAACTTTGAGACATCCTTTCTATCTCAAAAACTAACTTTTGCATGCTAACTGTCTGAAAAAGGTAATTTGCATTTAAAAATTTTTATTCTGTCCAAATTTTTTATTTACTTGTACAACAAAAAAAATGGAACAGACAGAAGTTGTTGAAAAGAGCAATCTGCCAATTTGGATCAGTTTGAAACTGCATGCATATTGGAACTTTTAGGTGACCTTCAGAAACAAACATCCTTTCTGCCTGAAAAATTAGCTTTTGCAGGCAAAAAATTTCTGAAATAGGTCATTTGCTCTTTTTAATTAGTTTTGTCTATTCCAACTGATTGCATCTCTATTACTTCAAGCCCTAGACTTCAAAAGAATTTTAATTCAGCAGCAATCTGACATGCAATTTTTTCATTATAAATAACACTGAAAACGCCCGTAAAACTGCAAACAAGAAACTTCAATTTTTTTTAAGTTTCAGCATGAAGGTCAGAATTAAAAAAAATAGGACGTTGACCGGTAAACACATATCAGTTATCAGCATTGAAACCAATTGCGCCAACAGCATTGAAACCAATTGAGCATTGAAACGTTGACCGGTAAACACATATAAAATATCAGCATTGAAACCAATTGCGCTATTTCAGAGTTGTTGTTCCGAAGTTCGAAGAAATTGACGGATTATTTTGAGCTCGGGGTGTTATCCGCATTGAGGTTATCAGCATTGAAACCAATTGTTATCGCATATAATTTATCACGTATAAGCGATAACTTGAAACCAATTGTTATCACATTGAAGTTATCACATATAAGTTATCAGCATTGAAACCAATTGAAACCAACAGCATTGAAACCAATTGCGCATTGAAACGTTGACCGGTAAACTCATATAAGTTATCAGCATTGAAAACAATTGCGCCATTTCAGAGTTGTTGTTC